AAGGAACAGGAAGAGATGGAGGCACAAAGCGAGTGTACAAAAGGAAATGCTTCTTCCAATGATACCACTGTCTCTGACAGTCTTGAAGAGCCCAGTCTATGGCAGGAACCTCAGGTTGTCATCATTGGATTGTGGTTCTGGTGGTGAGTTGTCTTACTATTAACACTGCCAAAATTTTTTTCAACCCATTAAGTAGAGAGAACTTTGATACACATTGAACTGGTTTTGATGTAGGAATTCTATTTCTCTGTAACATTCAAAGAATAACATTATTTTCTTTTAAATACTTGTACTCTTTTGATATGGAAGTATGAGTTTATGCATGTTTGTTAGAGAATAAGCCAGAACTGAATGAAGCTCTTAATGGAACCAGCATGTTGATTGACTTTTAAAAATGGAAAAAATCTGCATTATTGCAAAAAATCTGCACAGTTAACTGAATCACTTAACTATGGAGGTGAGAGTGGTCTTATATAAATTGTCACAGTCTGTAGGCTTGTGCAGAAAATATAACATGTTGATAGATTAATTAGAAGTTAATCAGCTTTTCCCTGATTTTTCGGAGGTGCTGCTTCTTGGATTGGACTATCCATTCTCTTGGATCTCAGTGGTGCCCTCTACATCTGATTACTAATTGTATTTTCTCTTGCTGCTTTAAAAAAATTAATCTTGAGTTCTTTATATGTTGAAATTTTGCTACCTGCAAGGCAGATCCTACCGGACATGTATGAAGTCTAGTTTATTACTTATTACTACATGAGGAAGAATGGAGTATTAGGTTGGATTTAGTATGGTATTCAGCCAAAGCCAAAATTGTTTGATATCCTGAGACCTGAGCAGGTTGTACTGTAAAGTCTTCTTTGCCTATACTTTTCTTTGTATGGTCTGAGGGAAAATGCCCATTTGTATTAGTTTCTTGTATTCTATTAGAATATGTAATGATATGTAATTGGATGTTATTTGTTTCTTTGCTTAGGAAAGAGATTATGGTGATCAGTGTGGTGACAGCACTCGCATTCCATTTTGCCATCACAAGACCTGCTTTGCATTTCATCCACACTCGTGTAGAGCAGGAGACCTGGGTCAGAGCACAGAAATATCTTAGGTTCATCCATCAACCAGTAAGTAAAAAATATTTGTCATCTTGCAGAAACTAGGTACTACGTGCTCCCTGAAATTAAATTTGAGTAGTGAATTATGACAGGAACCTCACTTAATGTTTCATCAGTGAAAACCTAGGTTATTCAGTTGCTCAAAGAGAAACGTTTTACTCTTTTAACAGCTCTAGCTTGGTTTGGATTTTGAAGGAAAAGAAGTAGCCAAATACAGGGTGAGTCAAAAGTCCCCTCCGCTCTTTGGATGTTAATAACTTTGGAATGCCTGATCGGATTAAAGTGCAGTTTGCACCATTTGAAAGACAAGACAAATCTCTATCTGTGGGCAGGATTTCATTTTATTATGTTCATTATGTAACAATTGGGAGGAGGTAAATCAAATATCTCTTTTTTGGTATTTAAACGCGTTCATACTTGAAACCACGTCTGCGTGCTGGGTTTGATTGAGTGTCTGATGAACTATGTCCTTTGTGATTGATATCCCTGGAACACTTATGGGAAAATGAGCGAGAAACGACTGAGTGTTGATATGCGAGTTGCAATTGTTCGCCTTTATTCCAAATTCGACCAGAACGCACCGGAAACCACTCGACAATTCAAGAGGAAATTTAATGGAGAAACTGTCAGCCGGAATTCGATCATCCGTATCAACTCGAACTTTGACAAGACGGGCACAGTCACTGACCTTCCCCGCTCTGGACGCCCAAGGACAGGTCGTTCTGAGGAAAGTATTGTTATGGTCAGCAAGAAGATTTCTCAATCGCCTGGAAAGTCAATGCGACGCATGTCAGCATGTCTCAGTCGTCGGTCGAAAGAATTTTACGGGATAATCTCAAGCTGAAGTCGTATGTTCTATGTCTTGTTCAAGAACTTTCTGAAGACGACTTCAATGGGCGTGTGGAGTTCACAGAAGAATGGATTCGACGGATCGATGAAGATCCGACATTTGGCGAGCACGTGCTCTGGTCGGATGAGGCAATCTTTCGCTTGAGTGGTCATGTCAATCGCCACAATTGCATAGTGGATGGCGACCAGTATCTCAGCATGTTGGAAAAACCAGATGTGGCCAGCGATTGCAGCTCGCAGTGACATTGATGTCTTGTTTTTCCAACAGGATGGAGCACCCGCTCACTATTCTCGTCAAGTGCATGAATGGTTAAACAACAAATTTGAAGGAAGATGGATTGGGCGTAGAGGACAAATCGAATGGCCACCTTGTTGCCCTGATTTAACGCCACCAGATTTTTGGCTTTGGGGCTACCTCAAGGACCTTGTCTACGCAGAGAAACCACACAGCATGGAGGACTTGAAGACGGTGATCCGTGAAAAGATGAATGGAATCCCAAGGGACATGATTGCACGTGCGATGGAATCCGTCACACAACACGCTCATCGACTGATTGATCTCTATGGTCGTCAATTGAAAGATTAATTTTGTTTCCTTAGAAATGTGGGTTTTTGCCTTTGTTTAAAGTGAAGATGTAGCAGTTCTTAAAGAGAATTGTCTTGTCTTTCGAATGATCCAAACCGGAATTAAATCCGATGACTCAGTCACGAGTTATGAACGGTCAAAAGGTGGAGGGGACTTTTGACTCACCCTGTAGAACAAGGTGCTTATTTCTTCTCATCTATCCATTGTCACTTGCAGAATAGGAAATGTGTAAAGGCTGAGTTTCCAGATGCTTACATGAAAACAAAATGATAAACACTCATCTTATGAAACTCATTCCCCAACTTAAAGTCTAAATTAAAAAAAATTATGTTCAACAGTTTATATTTTTCTTCATGCAGTCACTTCTTCATACTCCCAGTTTGAAGAGTGAAATTGATTGCCTAGAAAAAGGCATCTCATAGAAGTGTAAGCTGTAGTTGCCTTGTTTCATTTGCAGAAAGTGGTTATTGTGGAAAGACCAGCTAGCACCCACAATGGAAAGGGTTCAAGCAACTCTTCCACATCATCAAATCCCAGTTCCATTATCCCTTCTCCATCAGGGGAGTTCCACTCCCGGTTTGAAGAGGATTTTCAAAACCGAATTCAGCTGGGAAAGGGAGGGTTTGGTGTGGTTTTTAAGGCTCAGAATTGCTTGGATGACTGCTACTATGCCATCAAGAGGATTCGTCTTCCTAATAGGTCAGTTGTATTTATTTAATCATAAATAATACACTGAGAGTTCATTTGCCCAACTGAATCAGAGTGCTGTAAAGACCTTATAGCTCACTTTGACTCCAACTGTACCTCCTTTGAGTTATTTCCCTATTATAGGGTTTTGGTAGGATAGTAAGTATATAATTATTGATTCATGCAGACCAAGGCTATCTCAAGCAAGGCTGAAAATTTTTTTTTTTTTGGGAGATGCTTTCTCTTCTGTCCCACTTGCATATTTGACATATCTATACTCCAGAGAATTCTAGAAGTATTGTGCATAAAGTTGGCATGGCATATACAGTACTTTCCAGAAGTACTGTAAAATAGCCCATGATTTACACATGTTCAAAACATGTCATGGAGATGGATCACCTCCTTAAGCCCTAAAGTGTTGATGTCCAGTTTTCTGGACAACAGCACAGTGAGCACAAAATGATGTCATTCAGCACTTTAGGACATCAGCACTTTAGGGGTTAATGAGATGATTCATCTCTGTGACTTTGTTTTAAGGCACTACACATTTAAAATTTATTGAAAGCCCATCATCAAAAGTGAATCAATACTGTCTTGTTTGCAGGGAATAGAAATTTCAAGGAGTAAAAAGAAAAAGTTCATTTTCCATGCAGTTCATTTTTTGAGGAATTCAGAAATGTATCCAGATTACACTAGTTTTCTCTGTTTTGACTGCTAGGGGAGGGCTAGGGGTTTGCAGCACCCTGTAGATGTTTAATTAGTAATAAATGCTCTGTTGATATGGCAGTGAGCAGTCACGTCAGAAGGTGCTACGAGAGGTAAAAGCTCTAGCAAAGTTGAAGCACCATTCCATTGTGAGGTACTACAATGCATGGACTGAGCAAATCCCCCCGGGATGGAAGCTTGGGGGTATGCAGATTGTTTCAACTTCTGGCTACAAAAGGTTAGTGGCAAGATTTTAGATAGAGATGAAAATGGATAAGACCAGATGCTTCAAACTGATTTTTTAAATTTAAGTACTTGCATGTGAAAGAGAAAGAAATCAAATGCGTGGTGTGATCAATAAGTTCCCGGACTGGTTCTGTAACTCCATTATTCTTTGATGGACAGATGCACTTTTCGTATGTATCTTGGGTTAGGTCTTGGGGTGTGCATGGGCAAAATTTCTTGCTTGTTGGTTTTCATTTGGATTTTTAAAGAATTCTGTTCCATTGGGCACTTTGCACTACCTGTCGAAAAGCAGCAAGGAACATGATGAAAACAAATTGGAAATTCAGAATGCCAAGCTGTTTTTGTGAAATGAAGGGAAATAAACTTGTGGGAAGTTGCATGCTGCTGCGTTTGGAGCAGATACTTCATGCTGCTGGAGGATATTCAACAGGCACAGATTTTAAAATCGTTTGTGTCTGTGTGTGAGAGGTCACATGGATGACCCAAGTCAGTAAAAAAAAGTTGGGATGGGGACCAAAAGTGGAAGAAATTATTCACAGAGTTAAGAAATTGACAATTCATGGGCTCTTCAAGAACTTGAATTTTTCTCATGTACACATTCATGGAGGTGCATTGTGGTTCCACTCGTGTGGATGTTGATCGCTCAACCTTGGGTCACCATGTTAAAGGTTGTCTTTTCTCCAAATCCTTTGTATCTGTGGAATACCTTCAAGGTTCCTGAGTTGTGGTACATCTGCCTACTTCCACACCAAAATTGACAGCCTTTAAAATTCTTTTAGTAATTAAAAAAATTCCTAAAGCATATTCGCCGACAGGTTCAAAGTGTCCATTTGAACAGAATTATTTTAAAATTCAAATGAAAACCAATGAGAAATAAATTTTGCCCATGCATCCCCAAGACCCAATCCAAGATACATACGAGAAGTGACATCTGTCCATTAAAGAATAACAAAGTTACAGAACCAATCCAGGAACTTCTTGATCGCACCATGTACATCAACTAAATGTTGTGTATTATAGGCTGTTTTTTTTTGGTTGTTGCTAAAACTATAGGGTGTCCCAAAAATACAAGGAGTGATAAAAAATTTCTGGAACTGAATTTTTTATAATGCTGTGGTGACTCTTTCCAACTAATGATGGATATATACTTCAAAGTAGTCCTTTTCAGCATCTCCACTAATTTTCCAGCATTTTATTCAGCCACCAGAATAATTGATGACATATGTCTTTTGGAATCACCAGCAGCACTTGTGGCGCATTCGTAACGCTGCTTTAAATGTCCTGAAATTTCCTTCATTTTCCAATTTCGGTGGTTTCTGACCTATCTTGAAATCCCTGTGCTTTGTAAACCACCCAACTCACTGGACCTAGCTCGTAGGATTTTCTTCTTTTTTTTTTCCCCGAAGCTAAAGATTATGCCGGAATGAAGATTTCAGACATTCAAAGCAAAGTTATAAACATGATGTGAGCACTGCTGGTGATTCTAAATGTTAAGTGGCAACAATGTTTCCAGCAGCTTAAGAAACGCCAGAAAATATGTGTAGATGCC